TGGCTTGTGGCATAGCAAAGGTATGGTCAATTTGCATGTTTCTCTTTTATTACAATAGTTGATTGTTCAGGGGTGGGCTGTGTCATCTTCATCTTCTAACTCCAGTGCTTGTCATACTACCTTAGTGCATGGTGTTGAATAAATGAATGAAGGATGGGGAAAACCAGAAGCTCTAATACTGAGCCATGATACCAATTAATACAGTGTGCAACCACTGAATTAATAATTATGTTTCATAGTATTCTTGTGTTGTGTATTGTACCCAGATATAGATGTCTTTATTGTTTTCAACACTTATACTTAGTTGTAGTTTAAAGAATACAATTCTTTTTCTTTCCAGATGCTTCTAAATTTGAAGCTGAATCCTATAGAGCTTGTCCTGTAGGATCAGTCAGTCAAGTTCATGTCAAGATCTACTTTTGAAAATGCAAGAAGAATATAAAGAGTTTTTGCTGAAAAATTACATGATCTGAAACATAAATAATAAAATACTATTTACTGGGCTGTTTACATAACATTTAGTTTTCCATTAGACATGTGATGTGAGCTTTTTATTAAGAAAAATTTTTTTTATCATATGTTTGATGAGAATTTATATAGCATTTTAAACTGGGGTAATTTGGGGGCATCTAAGTAAGTTTTAAGCACAATTTTTAAATGAAAGCCAGCACTATTGAGTTATACATACTCAAATTGCCCAAATAGTAACTGTTTAAACAACATCCAAATAACTTGTCATTCATACTTTAGTGATGCTAGTTGATAGATTTTTTTTCATATTCCAATTTTATTACAGTATTTGGTCCTAAAGATTTAGACAGACATAATTTTGCTATCTGCTGCTATGGCTTATAATTGGCTGTATTAAAATTGTTATAGTGCCATTGGACTTATGTAATTTTAAACACTGATTCAAAACTCTTTCCTCGTGGGGGAAATAAATTTTTCCTAAGGCTTTTCTACTTTTCCACCTATTGATTGATTTTTTAGAAAGAGTTTTAAAATTACAAAAGTTCTAGGTTTTAGTACAAAGAACTTTTTTGCCCTGAATTATTTGAGAGTAAAATGTTGACACTGCCACCATGCCTCATTCCTTTAGTATATTCCATTTGTCTCCCATACCACCTTCACAATCAGAAAATTCACCCTAATACATTTCATAATTTTATCCTCTCATCCTTTTCAATTTTTACCACTTCTCTGTAGTATCTGTTAGAGCATAAAGACCCTGTTCAGATCCACAGTTTACACTGAGCTATGGTGTCTATTCTTCTCCTTCAGTCTGGAACAGGTCCTTAGTCTTTCCTTGACTTTCATGACCTTGAATCTTTTGAAGAGGAAGTTCTACTAATGTATGTAAACTGCCCTTCAATTTAAGATATGGATTTTTTGATGTTTCCTTATGATAACATTTAGATCAGATAGTTTTAACAACAGCATCACAGAAGTAGTCCTATACTCTTCTCATTGCATCCTGTGATGTGACCTACGGTTTCGATTTGTCATTCTTGGTAATGTTAATGTTGATCAGTGAAGGCAGTATCTGCTGGGTTTCTCCTCTGTAATGTTTCTTTTTTAACTTCACAATTACTGCTTTACAGGGAAGTTTTTAGAGTCAGTGTAAATATCTCTTCTTCATTAAGCTTCTGATTTATTCATTATCAATATGAACTCACGGTTTATTTCCTTTAATGGGTTATAATTTGTTAAAATAATTTTTAGAATTTTTCTTTTAGAAACATTCTGTATTGGAAGTTTCAGTCTTATAGAAGAGTTACAAGAATAGTACAAAGAATTCCTGGAAACCATTCCCTGAAGGTTAACATTTTACTACATTTACTTTATCCTTTCTCTCTTCTTGTCTATTGCCTAAATAAATGTAAATGTAGGTTTGTTAGATATATGAACCATTTGTAAGTTGCAGACATGATACATCTATACTCCTAAATATTTTAGTGTGCATTTCCTAAGAAAAAGGAATGATCTTACATAATTGTAGTATAATTATGAAAATCAGGGAATTAAAATTGGGTCAGTATTAATATTTAATCTTGGATCTTATTCAGATATTTGCTATTGTCTCAATAATATCCTTTATAGTCCAAGTAAATCCAAGATGATGTGTTATGTTCATTGTCCTGTTTCTTTAGCCTCTTTTAATCTGGGACAGTTCTTTAAGCTTCCTTTGCTTTTCATGACATTTACAGTTTGAAGAGTATAGGCCAGTTATTTGTAGACTTCCCACTTACGTCTGTCTGACGTTTCTTCATGTAGCTTCATGTTATGCCATGTGGGCAGGAATGTCAGGGATGCCGACTTCTTCCCATGCAGCAAATCTGCAGGCACATGTTGGGCTCCATTGCTGCCAGTGTTGACTGTGGTCATGTGGTTACGAAGTGTCTGCCACGTTAGTCCACAGTAAAGGTACTATTTACCTTTGTATGTCACAAATACCTTGTGTGGAGGTACTCTGAGTGTCTGTAAATATTTTGTTACTCCTCAAAATTACACATTCTAGATTTAGTATCCATTGATTATCCTTGCATGAATCAATTATTATGTTGTTTGCCAAATGATATTCTTATTATTTCATTCCTTCTGCATTGATAAATGCTTAATGCCAAACAAGTGAGGGAGAAGGGAAAGCTTATGATTTTGGTGCTTAATTTCCCGATTTGGCCAGCGGTACCATTTCAAGGTGAGTTCATGTGTTTTGACCTTTCCCCATTATTGTTTGGGCACCTCCTTCCTCTCTGGACAACAAGATGTTCCAAGCTCATCCTGTAGTTTCTTCCCCAGTCTTAGAATCAGCCATTTTTCATAAAAGCCCTGATTCCTTTCAGGGGCAAGCGATGTTTAGAAACCAAGATCTGGGCATGAATTGTGGTAGGTGTGCATATTGCTATGGGGGTTGTCATTGCTCATAGCCCTCAGTGAGCAGCAGGGAATCATGTGAGTACATATATACACATATATACATGCATACATTAATCTCCAGTTCTGGATCAAAATATATTGAAAAGCAAGAGTACTTACCAATACTTCCAATCTAATCCACATGGTTCATTCCAGTTGTTCCCTTTTAATTTTTAACTTCCTTTCTGACAGTAAACTGGCTCCCATCGTCAGTATCTTTGATTAATAGTTCAATCTTCTTGTTTGTAACCAGTCTCTGTGGTCCCTGCCCCTATGCACATGTCCTCATCACAAATTTGGATTGTAACACCCCACATTGGGTTGTCTCCACTGCAGTCCCTTCCAACTGTATGTCCTCTGCACCCCATCCTTTCCCAGATCCCTGTGCCACCTTTTCTGCAGATGATTTCCCCCATCAGGCTCTGAAAACTCAAGCGGGCTGTCCTTCTGCCCCTGTATGGATGCCTCCTGAACTTGTTCAGTCTTTGATCTCTCATCCTATGTCATTTACCTTTCAAGGATGCTCTGACTTGAGCTCCAGCACTATGCAGGGGGCCTCTCCCAGACTTAGACCTTCCTCATTCCATCTAGGCTCCAACACCTCACTCTGGGCCAACACACCTCCCTGATTTTGTCTCCAGGCCATAGAACTGAGTTTTTGGGAAGGAAAGAAAGCAGGAAGGACTCCAAAAATCTTTTATAAACACCTTGTCAAGCACTACAAATACACCGCAAAGATTTTGATTGGAATTGTATCTATAAATAAATTGTGGAGAAGAGACATTTATAAAATTGTTTTCCAAACTATTTAATAGTCTGTTTGGTTAACTCTCAATATTTAAAATATTTCCCATAGAGATGCTGTATTTGTTTTTTAGATTTATTCTCAATCATTTAATACTCTTGATCCTAGTATAAATATCACTTTAAAATTCTATTTTCTTTTTCTTGCCAGATTTAGAAATAAAATTATGTTGCATTTTGAGCTAGAATTCAGTACCTTGCTAAACTCTTTTTTTTCTTATGTGAATATTTTATCTGCAGTTTCTTTTGGATTTTCTATATGAATAGACATGTACCAGTATTCTATAAATTGTGATAGTTGTGTTTCTTCTTTTCCTGTTCTTAGAATTTTCTTTTTCTTTTTCACTGAAAGAATGGTCTCAAAAAAGGGGGTAATCATGTCTTGCAAAATTCCAAAGGAGAAACAGAATCTCTCTTGGTAATTATGTAGATAGCAGGGTTTTAAAAGTAGACATCCCTTATTAGTGTGTTTGTTTCTCTTGCTCTATAACAAATTATTATCAGTAGAAGTGGAGTTCTTGGGGTGCTGCTGGAAGAAGCATTTCTCGAGACCCCCAGGGGAGGATGAGATGATATGGTAGGGTTTATTTCTGTGGAATTACACCCCTGGGTTTCCAAAGTCCCGGTTCCCTTAGTCCAGTCATAGGAGAACAGCTGGGGTTGCAGTGGAGCGGCAAGCAAAGCCATTGCCCAGAGTTTCCTTTCCATGTTGGAGCTGGGTCCCATTCAGTGTCAGGTTAGTCACAGTCCATTGGTCCAGTGTGTGTGGGGTCCACATGGAACAAAGGGCCCCACAAGCCCAGATTCTCACAAGTCCCAAGACAGCCAAGAACACAAGATAGCGAGCTCCTTTGTTTCAGGGTTGGGGAACCTTTTTTCTGCCAAGGGCCATTTGGATATTTATAACGTCACTAGTGGCCCGGTGCATGGATTCTTTGCACATTGAAAGGAAATTAATTAGAATAAATATTTTAATATTGCTATTTGCCCTTTATAATAGAAGTGTAAGAGACAAAAGAAAATTAGTAAAATGTATATGAAAATAATATATAAATTGATTAATAAAAATAACATGATATAACAACAAAGAAATGTTATAAAAACAACAAAAACATGACATAAAAAAACAAAAACATGATATAAAAACAAGTGTTTAAAAACAATGACTGATAAAATTATTCTGACACTGAGGCCAGTGTCAGATGGGGACAAGTCAATTCTTGGAATCAGAACAACCTCTCCTCCACAGATTCTGTTAATACTTCACCTTCAATTATGTTAGGTTGCAATCTTTTGATAATAAATCTAGTACCAATAAAAAGACCCCATTTACTACTACGATTTCTCAGTAGCATGATGATTGCACCTACTTTCAATTCTAATTTATGACACGGAACTCCCAAAGGATTAATACTTTTAAGAAATTTGATGGGAAAATTTTCTTTTTGGCATCATCTGTTGAATCTAGTATTATTGTCAATTACACTGTAGTCTCTGAGTCTTAATGTAATATCTATTCCCCAATCTTTTTCACCATGTGGGAAAAGAATGGGATACATCATTGCATCTAATGTAGGAAACAGGATACTGATTTGTTTCATTTTAGTGGCATTTGGAGTATTGGGATCTGGTTTACAATGAATGAGCAAGTCCCTTTCAAAAGGAGGTCCTCTATTTTCCTTTTTGAATATGACGGCAACTTCGGTTACATAGGAATAATTATATCTACCCAGATCACTATTATGGTCATATTTAATCACCATTGTTACTTCCGTGTGCCACCACCACTTTCTTTTCTCTTCAGAATGTCAACAAAAACAACCAAATTCATGATCGACAATGACAGATCGCAAAACACATGTGGGATTGGCAGCACCAGCAAGAGCTGGTTTCTGTCTGCGGGGTGATTGGGCCCCCACTTGCACCTGCCTTGGCCTGGCACTGCCCACTCACCTGCTCCACCATACTGCCATGGTCCCACTCTCATTGGGGCCTATAGGGGCTGGTAGCACCTCCACTGCTGTCCACTGCCAGCACAGCATCACAGAAGCTGCCATGTTCCGTGCTGCCCTCTGGTGTTCAGTGCACATCATAGCAAGCGGTGGAACTCCCAATGAAACTCCAGTGGAAATCCTGAGAGGACAATTTGCATATGATGCTTTTATTATATAGGATTGGGCCTGAGGATTTACATGAATTTGGGCAGGGGAGGACACAAGCATTTGGTGTATAGCAAGGTCATTCAAAGTTCTTGGCCATGTGGGCTTAGACACATGGCTGCCTACTTCATGAAGCCAGCAAGGAGAATCTTTCACTTTAGGTGGGCTCAGTCTTTTTTTTTATTTAATGTATTCTTTTTTTTATTTTAAAATCCATATGATTTTATGAACCAATGTCTCCCCCCAAAAATTTCAATGACAGAGAGAAGGAAAGTGAGATAGAAAAAGAGAGATAGAGAGATATGAAAAGATTAGAGGCCTGGTGCACAAAATTTGTGCACTTCGGGGGGGGGCCCTCAGCCTGGCCGGTGCCCTCTTGCAGTCTGGGACCCCTCAGGGGATGTCCGACTGCTGGCTTAGGCCCTCTCCCCAAGCTGGTGGTCAGACATCCTTCTTGCAGTCTGGGACCCCTCACTCCTTACCACTCACCTGCTTGCTGCTCCTTACTGCTGCTGGGGAGGTGAGAGAGGCTCTTGCAACCACAGTTGTGCTGGCCAGACGTGAGTCCGGCTTCTGGCTGAGCAGTGCTCACCCTGTGGGAGCGCAGTGACCACCAGGGGACAGCTCCTGCATTGAGTGTCTGTCCCCTGGTGTTCAGTGTTTGTCATAGGGACTAGTCGTTCTGCTGTTG